GGGGAGGGAGGACCTTCTCTCCCACTTGAAGCTCAGAGAGCTGCTGTCTCTGCCACCCTCCCTCCCAGGTCCTGAGAAAGATAGCTGGGTCACTGTCAAGAAGACACACCAAGTGTTGGACAAGCTGTTCCCAAAGTTCTTGAAAGGTGATATCCCTCAGCCTTCTCCCCAGGGGCCCTGGGTTCTCTGTGACCAGAGACTTTAGCTCTGGCCTCAGTTTCCCTGTCTGTAGGATGGGGAGGTTAGGCTGGTCTCTCGGGCTGCATCGGGGTTGACATTCTGTCTAATCCGGGTTGGCACTGAGAAATTTGGGGGACAGGGGGGTGCATACTCCCATTTATTGAAGATAATCTTTTATGAGCACCTGTTCCATGCCAGCTCTTACCCGTGTACTGTCTCAGTGAATCCTTCCTGCAACCAGATGTTTTAGCCTCATTTTATGAGCTCAGGGCAGGTAGAGAGCTTGCCAGAGGTCACCCAGCAGCGGCAGGAGCCCAAGTAGCGCACGAAGCCCGAGCTGGCCTGTGCCTCTCTTTGTCCCCCTCCCCAGAGTCAGGCCAGAGTCTCTTCCCCCACAGACCCAACAGCACCCCACATGCTCTCCCCAGGACTGAGGGATGCTGGCTGGAACACTGAGAAGCACCAGCTGGAGGTGGATGAATGGAGGGCCACATGGCTGCCGTGTCCAGAGAAGAAGGTGTTGTGAGCGGCTCAGAATGAGGCCGGGGGCCAGGACCCACAAGCACAGACGCTTTGGCTACAGCACAACATGTGAAGGCAGTTTTATTTTTGTCTCGGGGAGTCGCTGTGGCTGGTGGGCCAAGGTCCTATGGGAAGCGACAGCCAGTCGGGTAGACTGGGCCCCGAGCCGAGACAAGGTTGAGAGAAGGGGAACCAGGGCCTTCCCCTGCTCCTGCCCCACCCTCTTCTGGTGGGTCCCCGCACCCCCTGCTCCCCCAACTCCTTGCGAAGCTGCTCCTGGCCTGGTTGGTGGTGGCTCACTGTGCCCAACCACAGTTGCCTCAAGCGTAAAAGCCCCAGAGGAATACGGCCACAGCCATCATGAGCAGGGCGTTGAGGTTGACTCCACGGGCCCAGCTGGGGTCCTCACTGATGTCCTCCAGCCACCTGGCTGCTGCAGCGGGCGGCTCCTGGGTAGGGGGTGGGGAACTCCCCACCCCACCCCTGCTCATTCCACAGAACCAAAGCAGGCACCGCCGGAACAGGCCTGGGGCCGGGGCCTGGGGCTCTGGGAGAGGTGGTGGCCGGGCAGTTAGTTAGCAGAACGGAACGCGGGTACCCCGGCCCCGCTGCCTCCGGCAGTGCCTTACCCTCCATCTCCAGTGCGCGCTCTGGGTGCCCGTTCTGTACAGGGGGTGACGATGGGCCGGCCAGCTCCTCATCCATATCCAGGTCCTCCCGCTCCTCCTTACTGTGCCGCAGACTGAAAACCAGGCGGTGCAGCTGGGGAGGGGCAGGGACCAGGTGGGGGTTGGGTCTCTAACTCTTGTCCACACTGGCCAAGCAGCCCTCCCAGACTTCCCTCTGTGCCCCCAGCACACCTAGCCTCGGTCAGTCCATTTAAACTTGACCTTCCCTGGCTTCCCTTTGCCCCCAGGCTAACGCCAAGCTCATCAGTGAGGTATTTAAAGATGCAGGCCCTGTTCTCCTCCCCTTTCATCACCCCAAGTCCTCTGTCTACACCCAGGATGGTGGTATTTGAGACTCTAGGGTACGGTCTTGATAACACAGTTTTCCTTCCTGTGGGTGTTTGCTCACAGTTCCTGCCTCCTGCCTCTGAGGTCTCCCCTGTGGGAGCCTGCCCGTCCTTCCAGGCCCAGCGCTTGCCCTGCTGGCACTCAGCCCTTCCCTTGGGTGCCAGCCTAGCAGCAGCACCAGACCAGGCCCTTTGTGGGCTTTCCACATGGCACTCGGTCCCTCCGTCTCAGCCACGAACCAAATCCTATGTTTTGAGTCCCAAAGACCATGCCAGGAATTGGCTCTGGGGCACTTTTAATCCCCAGAGAAGATTGTGATGTCTCCCACAATCGTCTTCAGCCCACCTTTCTACCAAAAACACCTTAAATAAATGATATTTGAAGTAAATAAAACGTTGTCTTGGCTCTGAAAAGAAAACAAACTGGACTCCCAGCCAGGCTTCAAAGAGAAATTCACCGGGTCGCCGCCGCACTGGGCCTTGTGGGGGTGTGGAGGGAGGAGAGGGGCCTAGGTGGAGGCAGGCGCTTACGTGTTTGCGCGGGATGGGCGCCGTGCACAGGGAGACCGCGAGGGTGAGGAGGCCCGAGCCGACGAACAGCACAATGGCGAAGTAGAGGTAGTGCACCCCGCAGAGGAGCGCCGGGCACCGCGAGGGCCTCACGCAGCTGCCCGAGCCGAAGGAAAACTCGGGAATCAGGCGCGCCAGGCCCATCAGCAGGCCGCCGATCAGTCCCCAGAAGGCGCCCTGCAGGGTATAGAGCCTCGTCGGGGTGCGCGAGCCCTGGCGCGGCCTCGCGACGCCCACGCACGCTCACCTGTTCGTTGACGCGGGGCACAAAGAGCGCCAGCACGAAGACGGCGAACACGGGCGGCGCCAGGTAGCTGGAGACGGCCTGGATGTAATCGAAGAGCTGCCCGCCCTGCGCCGCCTGCACCACGGGCAGCCAAGCCACCGACACAGCCACAATGAACACCACCCAGAGCCTGCGAGGGGGCGGCCGTGCGGAGCCTTCACCCACGGCTCCCCCACTTCCCGTGACACCGCGGGGGCTTCTTGCCCCTCTCCGGGGATGCTTCAGGGGCAGGAAGGCGGGGGAGGGGGGCCGAGGTCGCACCGTCCAACTAGCAGCAGCTCGCGGTTGCCGGCGCGGGGCCGCAGGCGCGTGTAGATATCCATGGTGAAAAGCGTGCTGCTGCTGTTGAAGATTGAGGCCAGCGAGGACATGAGCGCCGCCAGCATGACCGCCAGCATGAGCCCGCGCAGACCTGCGGGCCGAGGGAGCCGTGAGGCCCGGGACAGCCTGGCGGCGCGGGCTCGGCGAGGGGCGCCCCCTGCCGGCGACAGTCTCGACCGCGTCCCCGCGCCTGTAGGCCGGGCCCGGCTACCGGCACTCACCATTGGGCATGAGCTTCACCACGAGCCGCGGGTAGGCGATGTTGGAGCAGCCCACCTCGGTGCCACACACGCGTTTACACACCTCGGGCACCACACACGCCACCTCGTCTGCGGGAAAGAGGCCACGACGCGGCTAAGGGGGATTGAGTGGGGGACTAGGATCCCAGAAGTGGGGACTATGAAGGCTCTGAGAGAGGAGATGGGACCCTTGGTGGAAGGCGGGGCCAGGCGACCGGATTCTCTTAGGTTAGGGCGGCAACGGAAATGGGAGACAGGCACTTGGATCATTGCACGGAAAAGAGGCTGGGTGGCGCACAGGGGTCGGGACGGGGATGTGGGCATTACCCGGGTAAAGGATGCGGCTGATCATGCCTGGCATGACCATGAGAAACATGGGCATCAGCTTCAGATAGCCGCACAGGATACAGCCCGCCTTGATGTGGGTCAGGTTCTTCCCGGCCAGGCAGCGCTGCACTATGACCTGCGAGCGAGGGGGTGCGCTCAACCACCTTATGTCCAGGGCCCACACTTAAACGCTTTGCCTCAACTCGCGCTACCTATTCGGGCCGCGCCTCTGGCTCAGCTGGGGCCCCAGTCCACCTCCATCCTCAGACCCTGCCCCCTTGGATTCGATTCCAGCTCGCTTAGCCCCGCCGATAGCTGCTTCCCCGGGCCTAGGTCCTGCCTGCTCAGAGCACACCCTCCAACTAGCCACGCCGGAAGCGCTCAGGTTCCAACCATCTCAGCTCCATTCAGAGGTTCTGGCTGTGCCGCAGCCCCGCCCGGGGCCCGGGCTCTGGCCTCGCACCTGGTCACTGCACCAGTACCAGCCCGAGACGATGGTGAGCCCCAAAAGCAGCGCAGGCCACGGCAGGTCCCCCGTCACTGGGTCCCGAAGCAAGTGGTAGGAGTCAGGCCGGGGTCGATAGCAGGAGCTGGAGATGTTGCCCAACGCAGGGTCCTCGGACACTGTCAGCGACGTCACTGCCTCCAAGTATTTGTCGAAGAGCCCCGAATAACCGCCCACTTCGTGGAAAGCTGTGAGAGCGACGCAGTCAGAGGCTCCAACGCCCACGCCAAGGCCCTCCCCGGAACTTAAGAGACGCACGACGTCCCTGCTCCAGGACTGAGAGCTCTGCGACCCTCGACCTCTGGCTCCCCCCTGCCCCCCTCCAAAAATAAACTGGCTGCGCCCCCTACCGTAGCCCATAAGGATGAAGGCTCCCCCGAGAATGACGAAGGTCTGCACGGTATCCGTATACATCAGCGCTGCCAGCCCTCCTGCAACGGGCCTGGGTCAGTGGGGAGAGCCCAGCTCCTCATCATACCGTGTCTGCGCAAATTTGAAAAAGGTGCCTCTTCCTGAAGAACAAATACCAAAACGGTGGCCCATTCTCTGGACTGACGTGCCCAGGCACCAAGAGGCCTGGTGAGCAGAGATGGGCTGAATTTTAGGTTCCAATGGCGCCCCCATGGCCAGGCACCCACGTGCAACACCCCCACTGCATGCTGCCCTCTGGGCCCTGGTTGTCTTGTTTATTTAAGAGGAGGGTCCAGTTCTCAGTTCTGTCCCATCCCCAGGCCGCACCCCTCAAACCCGCCACTGGCACCAGGCCACGCCCACTCTTGTCCAATGCCTGCTCTCAGGCTCCACCATGGAACCCTTGGACCTCCCTGGGTTTGGCTGGAGATCCCAATGTCTGGCTAAGTCCGCTGCCCTCCTGGGAGTTTAGAAGCTGCGGGATCTTCTCTCCTCGGGCCCTACTCCGAAGCGCACCACGCACTCAGTGCCCAAACTTCCAGTCGAATTCAAGCCGGACAAGAGGAGGCGGTTTTTCTTTCCAAAGGTTTAAGCCCCCCTCCTACTTGGACCACGTCACATTTTAGAACTTCGCCTCCCAGCTTTCCTCTGACGAGCCCCCCAAACCTGCCCACATCTCCAGGGCTCCAAGCGCGTCTCCCAGCCCCGTTCCCTTCCCTAAACCCCTCCCGCGGCCACCTGTCACCGTGTAGATCATGGTGATGCCCAAGAGCGCGATGACTGAGGCGTAGATATTCCAGCCCAGCGCCTGCTGGATGAACACGGCTCCGGAGAACATGTCCACCTTGGGGGAGGGAGTCAGCGCTCAAGGCAGGACCCAGGGGCCAGGGCAGGGACCCAGGTCCATCCCTATATGACCATGCTCTCAAAGTCTCCCTCATTTTGCGACGTCCTGGCTTTCCCAGGTCCCACTCCTGTGGCCGTGACCCCAGTGACCCGTTCCCTCCAGGCCCCGCCTCCATACAGTGCCTGAGCCCCGCCCTCTCCAAGGCTCGGTTGTTGTGCGCCCTCGGGTGAGAGCGACTCACAACGACACTGAAGGACAGAGTGTAGCTGCCCCCTAGGGATTCCGAGGCTGAAATCTTTACGGAAGCAGAGAGCCAGGTCTTTTCTCCCTCAGAGCGGCCAGTGGGTTCGAGCCGCCAACCTTTCATTGGCAGCCAAGTGCTTAGCTATCGCTCCACGAAGACTCCGTCAATTCTCTCTAAAGACCGCCTCTCGGTGGCCCCGCCCATCTCCAGAGTCCCGCCCCTCCCGCCACGCATGCTCACCGAGATCTTGGTGAAAATGTACAGAAAAAGCGAGAGCACTGACAGGTAGAGGCGGATGCGGTGGCCGCCGAAGCGCTTGCGCAGGTACTGCGGCATCGTGATGACGCCCGCGGTCAGGTACACGGGCGCGAAGAGCCAGCCCAGGAGCAGCACCACGAACAGCGCCTGCGGGCACAGCGCGGCCGCTGGGGTGGCGCGGGGCTTGGGTCCCTGCTATGAGCGCCCCCTCGCGCTCCCCATCTGAAGGGTCTGAGAGACCTTCGTGAACTTGCTACTCCGAGACAAGAGGAAAGGCCCAACGCGCCTGGGGCCCGAAGGGCGCAACTGCAGGCGATGGTCCTCAGTCCTGGACATTCAGGGATAGGGTCCTGACCCCTTCCTGGGCCCTAAACCAGAGCCCTCCTTGTCTCCATGACCCTTAGCCAGTACCCCCCCAGGACGGTTTCTGTCTTACACTCCTGCCCCTGAGAACAGACTCCTCAACCGGCCCCTAGTCTTGTATCCCTTTTCCTCTGAACCCTCCCAAGACTTCTGTCCTTCAAGGCTCAGTTCAGAGGCCTCCTCCTCCAGGAAGCCCTGAGCTCAAAGCACTGATGTCCCCAAGCCTCCAAGATGCTCCTCAGTCCCAGAGCTTCATTTCCTCTTCAGAGTAAGGGCCTTTGATTAGGCCCAGGGGTCCTCACAGGCCACAGCTTCAAAGAGCATCAGATATAAGAAATGCTGCGCTATCTTTTAGGCCACTCACCCTGCTTTAGAGAGGAGAGAATCAAGGTCCGCAGGGGAGTGGCTCTTCCAGGGTCACACAGCAAGTCAGGGGCAGGATCTACCCTTCCCCTGAACATAGTCATCTTGTACATCTCCCACCTGGGCTGGACACTGTGACACACACACCCCAGTCCAACCCCAGCCCGCAATGGAAAGCCCCAATGCCAGTCTCACTCACATCCCGCTGCCTGAAGCTGCCCCCGGTATGGCCCTCCCATGGGTTCTGACTGGGGGCAGAGTTACTGACAAAAAGGGGGTCTCACATTCCACTCAAATCCAGCCACAGCCAAGCCACTTGCTGCACCGGTCCCTGCCAGGCCCACAAAGTGGCCGCTGCCAATGTTGCTGGCGAAGAGAGAGGCCCCAACCTGGGTGGCCAGAGGTGGGGTGAGTCAGGCTGCCTCCCTCGGCCTCCCCTCCCTGCTGCACAGCTCAGCTCTGCCTACCGGCCACCACATCATGCTTCGCCCCGCCAGGAAGTAGCCTCCAACGGTGCCTCTGTTGGTTCTGCACATGGACTGGGGACCGAGAGGGAGGAAGAGCTGGGCTCAGGGCCCATCCTGGGACATCATTAGCCTCCCCAACATGTTCCTCAGTCTTGTTTCTGACTGAAAAGTAACCAACGCTTTGCTCCCCTGATATCCCCGCACCCCACCTCCTCCCAATCACCCTGAGTTTTGGTTGGATTTGCCTTGACTTTCCTGGAGACCTGGGATATGGGCTGGTGGTCAGTCATAAATGTGGACAGGGGAACAGAGAGGCCTCATCTTGAATGCTGACCCTGATGGCAATCCACTGACCCCCCTCAACCAGCTCAATCCTGGGCTTCCCTGGGGTGCTGTAGACACCAGCTTGCCTTCCAAACCTCAGTTCCTCTTCCCAAAATCCAGGCATCCTGCCCCCACCCCCACCAGGAGATCTTCCTGAGACATTCCCCCCAGGCCTCAGAGGCCATCAGCACCCCTTGAGTTCCCTCACCCACAAGCCGACACCAATGACCAGCAGGAAGTATGCAGCAATGACCAGAATGTCAGCAGGGTTGTCAATTAGGGCCCTCTGGTCCCCCAGTCCTGGTGCTGAGCTCGTCTCTGCTTGTGCCTCCATTCTTTCAAGGATCTGCCCCTCAAGGGACCAGCTCCTGGATTCCCCCAGGGGAAGGATTAATGGTTACCTCAAGAGCAGTGAGCCGGCAAGTCCCCCTCCCCGGCTTTGTTCAGCTGAATCAGGTCTCATCAAGGCCAAAGTTGTTCCCGGGGTGCTGGACCCTTTCTTCCCAGGCCTGAGCCTCCACCTCCTCCCCAGCCCCCCAGGCTCAAAATCACCTCTTTCACCCACCCTCAGCCTCAACCTAGGGAGCCCAACTGTATCAGCCCCCTGGTTGTGATGAATTCAAAGGGATCATCTTCAAACTCAAAGCTACCAGTGTCACTCCCCTGCTCGGAAGCCTCCAGAGCTCCCCACCAGCCTTAGGAGGAAGTTCAAGCACTCGGTCTAATAGTCGAGGACTACCATACCCTGAGGAGCTCTGCTGGTGTCGTGGTTAAGGCATTCGGCTGCTAACCAAAAGGTCAGTGGTTTGAACCCACCAGCTGCGCCACAGGAGGAAAACATGAAGCGGCCTGCTTCCATTAAGATTTACAGCCTTGGGAACCCAATGGGGGCTGCTATGAGTCAGAATCAACTCAATGGCAGTGAGTTTGGTTTGGGGTTTGGACCACACCCTGGCTTCTGCTCACTCTTCTCCTTGTTCCTCTATACCAAAACTACAATGAAGCCACAGTTCCTTTCTGATTTTCTGTCCAGTCCATGTATTTTCACACCTCCAAACCTGTGTCTTCTGCTTAGAGTGCCCTTGCCCACATAGCCAACTCCTACTCAACCTTCAAAATCCAGTCTGTGTCACCTCTTCTGGGAAGATTTCTCTGAAATTTTCAGATACGGTTCTGAGCACACTGTGTGCTCCTTGTATGGGTCCAGGTCTGTCTCCCCAACAGGGTGTGGTGATACCACAAGAGCAGGGACTGGTCCGATTCATCCCTGAAGTCTCTTTGCCTAGCACAGGGCCAGGTGTGCGGGAGGGGGGATTGGTGAACATCTGTGCCTCAACCTTTCCATACTGGTTATGTTTGAATGTGGGGGACATGTCAGGGGAACTCCTGCCTGTTTATGGCAGCTGGGGTCATCCCTGAGATGGGGAACTGTTCTGGTTCCCTAGTGCTGCTCTGACAAGAAATATACTCACAAATGGGATGGCTTAAACAAACAGGAGTTATTCTTACAATTTGGAGGCTTTAAGTCCAAGTTCAAAATGCCAGGCTCTAGGGGCTGGGTGAAAGCCCCTCAACCTTTGGGTCCAGCTCTGCCTCCTGCTCCCGGCCCACTGGAGCTAGAGGCGTTTTTTCACTCAGACAGCC